TCTTGTTGGAATAATCAAGTAGAGTTAAAAATAATCGCACAGGGAAAATTTACCCTGAAAACCATGGTAATTAATAGGACAATATGGTATTGAAAGAATTTTATATGAGAATTTTTTTATATAAAAATATTTGCCACAATAAAAAATATTAATATCTATCACAACAAGAGTGGTAAATATTTTTTAATCAGAGAAACTCATAAAATTCTTCCAATATCATGTCCCAAGATTAGAAGTGTGAGCATTTTTAGTTGGTTTATGTTGGAATAATCAAGTAGAGTTAAAAATAATCGCAAAATTTTCTCTTAAAATTTATCCTGAAAATTATGGTAATTGTAAAACAATATGGTATTGAAAGAATTTTATATATAAGAGTTTCTCCGATTAAAAATATTTGCTACAATAAAAAATATTAATATCTATCACAATAAGAATGGTAAATATTTTTTAATCAGAGAAACTCATAAAATTCTTCCAATATCATATTGTCCCAAGAGTAGAAGTGTGAGCATTTTTAGTTGGTTCGTGTTGGAATAATCAAGTAGAGTTAAAAATAATCGCACAGGGAAAATTTACCCTGAAAACCATGGTAATTGTAGGACAATATGGTATTGAAAGAATTTTATATGAGAATTTTTTTATATAAAAATATTTGCCACAATAAAAAATATTAATATCTATCACAACAAGAGTGGTAAATATTTTTTAATCGGAGAAACTCTTATAAAATTCTTCCAATATCATATTATCCCAAGATTACTATGATTTTCAGGGTAAATTCTAAGAGAAAATTTTCGTCGTGCATCATTAATTTAATTTTCATTAAAGCATATATTTTTGCAAATTTAATTTTAAAGCTCTAGACAGTATAACGTCTCTTATAATGTATATAATACATACGTTACGTCTTTTATAATTATATATTTTTTATTATATACAATTTTATATTTTATATTTCGAGAATAAAAGTTAAAAAAAATAAAACCTTATAATTAATTGCGTTTTAATAGATTGTTATTTCTCAGTTTTTAAGGCTTTCACTAAAATATATATTTCAATTATAATTTAAGTTCTATTCTTCATTTTCATATTCATTGAGATTGCGTCGACTGCAGAGATTATTTCATAATTTCGTCGCGGCAATTTCACCCGGAGAGATTCTTTCGGACAAATTTCAAACCCTCGTCCTCAGAGAGGGAGAGACTTGAGGCTCTCGTCCCGCATCCAGGGGGATATGAATAATATTTGCAGGCACGTGTCCCTCCCGTCACGGCAGTGCCAGGGGGTGGTCAGAGGGTGGGTCGAGCTTTGAGCTACTCCGTATTTGGTGCTCTAAGCTCCCGGTAATTGCCAGCATCGCAGGGGATCACAGACACAAATACCGATCGTGCCCGGAATCGGCGCGACTACGCGTTTAATTACACGTCACGTACGCGTGAGCGTCTCTATTATAATATAAATATATATATATATATGTACATATATATTCTCCCTTTTCTTCCCTTCTCCGACACCGGATGTCCTTTCAGATACTGGAGATCGTCGTACCGGATTCTAATAAATGTCGCCACATGCACAGTCACGAAATACTAAATAAATACTAATAATAAGAGTAATAAAGATTTGGTATTTATGTATATAAGAGAATTTTTTTATCTATTGTTTTATTTAAATTATAAAAATCCTTCATCCGACTCAGTTTTACGAATTTTTAATAAATAAAAAAATTATGCATTAATGATATTAAATACACAGAGAGTTTTACTTCTCTTAGAATTTATCCTAAAAACTGTGCTAATCGTGGGACAATATAATCTTGAAAGAATTTTATAAGAGTAATAAAGATTTCGTATTTATGTATATATAAGAGAATTTTTTTATCTATTGTTTTATTTAAATTATAAAAATCCTGCATCCGACTCAGTTTTACGAATTTTTAATAAATGAAAAAAATTATGCATTAATAATATTAAATACACAGAGAGTTTTACTTCTCTTAGAATTTATCCTAAAAATTGTGCTAATCGTGGGACAATATAATCTTGAAAGAATTTTATAAGAGTAATAAAGATTTTGTATTTATATATATAAGAAAATTTTTTATCTATTGTTTTATTTAAATTATAAAAATCCTGCATCCGACTCAGTTTTACAAATTTTTAATAAATAAAAAAATTATGCATTAATAATATTAAATACACAGAGAGTTTCACTTCTCTTAGAATTTATCCTAAAAATTGTGCTAATCGTGGGACAATATAATCTTGGAAGAATTTTATAAGAGTAATAAAGATTTGGTATTTATATATATAAGAGAATTTTTTTATCTATTGTTTTATTTAAATTATAAAAATCCTTCATCCGACTCAGTTTTACGAATTTTTAATCAATAAAAAAATTATGCATTAATGATATTAAATACACAGAGAGTTTCACTTCTCTTAGAATTTATCCTAAAAATTGTGCTAATCGTGGCACAATATAATATTGAAAGAATTTTATAAGAGCCTCTCTAATTAATTAACATTTATCACAATAAAAAATATTAATATATCTAAAATATAAAATATGTTAATTTTACTATGTACATATATTAATATTTTTTATTGTAATAATATAATTGTGGTAATATTTTATTGTAATTTTTATTGTAAATATTAATCAGAGAAATTCCTGTAAAATTCTTTTAATACCATATATTATCACAATTTTCACGGTAAAGTCTAAGAGAAAATTCTCTCCGTGTACTTATAAATAAGAATTATTACGTCAGCGAGCGAAATGTCATTAATTATTAATCTGAATTTTTGCACAATCGTCTCGGCTCCTAATAATAAACGGGAGTGGCGAAACAGGAACGGATGGCACATAATTATAGCGTATCGAACGTCTCTCTCTCCGCCAGATGCGACAGGGTTCAAAACGAGCGCGTCAAACACAAAAACGCGAGCGATAGCCTTCGGTAGCCTCGATTGAACCGATTCGGCCGTCAATCAAAGTCGAAAGTCGAAAAGCCGACTTGCTTTCTCGATGACAGACGGATGGACAGACGGACGAACAGTTCAGGTAAATCGACATATCGCGTTACGAGGGTCACCCTGAGGCCCCGAGGATCTCATCGATCGACGAAAAGTCGGCAAGGTGCTCGAAAATAGAATAAATTCTTTCCCTTCTTTCTCGCCATGTGACTCAAATTTTACGTATTCGTATACGTTTATTTGTTCGATAGGATCATTTCGAGATCGCGCAGTTTCCGAATCTTGAAAGACAGAGGAAAGATAAAAAAGTGTCGTCTGTCATCTCTAGAAAAGATCGATTATACGTTTTAAAAAATAAAAATATTCATTAGTTTCTTTATCATTTTTTCAGGTCGATTTAAAATTAAATTTTCTGGACCTTTATTAAATTATTTTTATTATACTTATCAGATCGTGCACGTGTAAAAATGTTTTCGATATTATATTTTTTTATTCAATATTTATGTATATTAATAGTAATAATATATAATTATTATATAATATTATAATTAAAATTATAATATTAAATAAATAAATATAATATCATGTGTATATTAATAGTAATAATATATAATTTATTATATAATATTATAATTAAAATGAATATTAAATCAATAAATGTAATATCAATTAATAATTTATATTATAAATAAATAATTACAATATGATACTATTTATTGTGCACCATTTTCATCAAAACTCCCAATTTTTTGGAGAGTTTCAAAAATTGCGAAAATGATTTCCGATCGCTGCTATGCTTTCTCCAAGATGCAAATTTTCGGCATAAATCCCCCAGTTACGCCGTGTTTGAAGGCGCGTCGCATCGCAAAGAACGTTCGCAGAGGTGCGTTTCGTAAAACGCGCGGGGACGAACGTCGATTGTCTCTGCGGTTTTTCGCCGGCCGCAAAATAAGGCACCGGCCGCGGTATTCCGACCACATCCCGCCGATTTTATTCCGCCTGCATTGCAACGCGGGACCGTAAAACGTGATCGCACGCCGTCGTAACGTAAGCGACGTTTTGCGACTCGCAACGCGCGAACCTCAGAAAATTATTCTCCTCGTCGCCTTTATCTTCCAACTCGTCATCTCTCGCGCGCATATGCAGATTTGCGAGATATGTTACGCGGCAAGTTGCAAATGTCAAAAATTTTAGCTACAGAAAATTTATAAAAAATATATAAAAAAATTAATAAATTTAATAAAAAATATAAATAGATATGTTGCAAATGTCAAAAATTTAAGCTATAGAAAATTTATAAAAAATATATAAAAAAATTAATAAATTTAATAAAAAATATAAATAGATATATAAAAGAACTGATCCAAGATTGGAGCTGAAAAGCGAAAGTGATGGACGTTGAGAAGGCGAACGAGGATCCGATTTGCATATCGCTCTGTCACGACCCTTTTTTATTCTAGCAACGCGCGACGAAAGAGAGACATCTGCATCAGAAAGAGGACGTAGCGCAAAGTGGATTACGGTAATGGATCGCACTAGCGATTGATCGGATTAGATTATGACGGTGATATCGTCGTAATCGGTGAACGGGCTCAGTCGGTGCGAAACAACATACGTTCCGCCTTACGATTCTCGGTGTGAAATTGTAGCAGATCATTTCGTGGAAGATCACAAATAGATTACTTAATCGCCAGAACTATTATTTGTTTAAACCACACAAATAAAAATAATAATATATCTATCCAATAAGATATAAATTATGTTCGATTAATTTTACTATGTACATATTAGTATTTTTTATTTTGTGATAAATATTTAATCAGACAAACTCTTATAAAATTCTTCTAATATCATATTATCATGATTTTCGGAGCAAATTCTACATGAAAATTCTGTCCGCGTATCAAGAACTCTAAAACAATTAAAAATAAAGCCAGAATTCTTAATTATTTATGTTTCCACGAAATGAGACGCTTTACACACCTCTATAAACATGTTATAAAATAACAATCTCTCACTCACCGATACCTGCAATAGCGGAGTTGTAGTAGTACACATCATTGATCTGAAAAAAAAATTAAATAATGTATACACATATATATTATATATAATATTATTGTATATTATAAAATATTTAAAGCAAAGATTTAAAAAAAAAAATTTCAAAAATAATTTACATGCCTAAAAATAGTATATATAATGTAAAATATTCCGTGAAGAAATAAAGCAGGTAATTTTACCAGTAGCGAATTAATAAATTAAATGTGTTATAAATTATTTACGTGCATACATACCTCACAGTTGCCCCGCTGTCACCCGATGCCTCTTCAGCCTCCTCTCTTGATCCTCTCTTGGTCCTTCGTAGCACTCACTCGCGAAAATACGAATAATTATATACGATCGCCCGAACTTTTACACGGCACTCCCGACACGATTGAATCGCAAACCTGTAACAAACGAAATACATACATATATTAGAATAATCTTATTATTTCGCATGAAAACATACACAATATAAATATAGCTAGAACTAACAATACAATACAAAGGGTAGGAATGATTGTGTTTACTAATTAATCACAGCGGAACGCAGCTCGAAGTGCCTGGTACTCGCGGCGTTTCGGTAATGGCTGAAGTTAGTCGCTGTTCCACGAACAGCGGCAACGTCATTCTACTAGTGCGCGGTAAATATGATTTAATAATAATAATTAATTGAAATTCAGAGGAGATTTGTTCACAAAAATAAAAGTATAGTATTTTTAGTATAGAATAAACATATTAAAGTTTAATTAAAATTATTAAAACTTATTTAATTATTAAAATTATGAAAATGAAAATAATTCTTCTTATATGTATATTTTTATATCAATATTTCATCTTGTGAAATTTATTAAGCTTTAATTTTTCTTCTTATGACAATTGAAAATTTAATTAAAGTGATGGATTCTTTAATAAATTCAAAGTCAATTTTCCTAATAAAAACAGCTTCAAAGAAAACCCCTACAATATTTTTTAATAAGCAATTTAAATAATTTGACAAATAAAATTCTAATAATTCTAATTAATAAAAAGTTGTTAAAATTTAAATAAAAAATCGAATTTGAAACTTTTAATTAAAAATCCTTTCACACAAAAATAATATCAAAAAATTCAATAAAAAATATACGAAACAAGATGCTGATATTTTAATTTTCCGCCATCTGATCCGCAATCTGTGTAGTCCTTTGATTCTTCTCGCAAATAAAATTCGTTTTACGATTCTCGAGAAATGGATAGAGGGTAAATGTACCGTTTACCAAAAGGTGTCCCGCACCTTGCGAAGGGCGGCGTAGCGCTATACGAGTCTCTAATTGGCGCTAATTTCGCAGACCTGTGCTCTCTCTCTTTCTCTCTTTTTCCTTTCGTCTGCACAAACAGAAACACGGGATACGCTCCATCACTCGTACAATATTGACCCTATAGCGGGTGAAACGACAAGAGTGACGGGGATCACAATGACGCGAGCCGCCCCCGCCTGCATATACGAGCTGTTAAACCGTCCCATTCATCCCCGTGTGCTCGTGGAAGCACTGACAGCCGGTCATTAGTCGAATACGAGAACGAGACGCGTGCACATTTAGTATGCGCGAGTGTGCTCGATGTTATCGCGACTTTCGCCATGAATCTCTCGTGGATCTCGGCAAGAAATTGCGATAATTCGTTCAATTCGCGAATTACATAATTTTACAACACAATATAAAGTATAGAGAATATATTTTTTAAGTTAGAATTATTTAAATGCTTATTTATTTATTTATACAGAATTATATACAATTATTTGGTGTTATTTCGTTCGCAAAAATTTATTAATTTTGTTGAGTATACGAAATAATACAAAAGAATTTTAGATACGATATTAAAAAATTAAATTATTTAAAAAATAATTGTATATAATCTTTAAATATTATATTAAATATTTAAAATAAAAATAATTTTATATAACCGTAACTCCTGAAAAAATATATTTTCTACATTGATAATAAAAACAAAAGAGAAGGAGCATTCCTGAAATTGCTCAAAGAATTTTTTGCGGAGATCTCGCAAAAGGATCTCGAGCTAACGGGGCACTCGGCCCTTTAATCCCGGGGTCAGGGCAGGAAATTAAAAATTGAATAGCCGGAGAAACGTCTCGTATGTACCTCGATATTGCGTATACAACGTGATATTCTCTCGACGTGCATGTACACACGCACGCATGTGCCATTGTCCCGTGACGTTGATTTGACGTAATTGGCACCAGGAAGGAGCCGAGCGGGGCAGCAATGATTGGGATAAGCCGGAATAAGCCGGGATAAGCCGTGCGTGGATTTTCTAGGAGGGGCGCGAGAATTTCGACGATATTTTTTTTTTTTCCTACGCGCCACCGTTACTTATTCACCGGGATCAATTCGTCCCCTTTTCCTCCCTCTGATTCCGACGAGAATCACTTAATTCTCGATACACGGTGAACGGTAAATTAAAGTGCAATTTAGAAAATTGTGCAGGACAATTTTAGAGGTGTCGAATTTTAACGATGAATTTGGTTTAATTTTCCATATCCCCGTATAATGCGATGTAATTGTGCAAAAATAATTATTTTATATACAAAAAATCTTTTATAATGTCATTAAAAAACTATCCTTTTCTGCACAGAATTTTCTCTTAGAATTTATCCTCAAAATTATGATAATTATGAGACAATATTTACCACAAAATAAAAAATATGAATATCTACCACAATAAAATATAAAATGTGTTCAATTAATTTTACTATATACATATTAATATTTTTATTGTGATAGATATTAATCAGAGAAACTCTTATAAAATTTTTCCAATAAAATATTGTCCCATTACAATGATTTTCAGGGTAAATTCTAAGAGAAAATTCTTTTTGTATAGCAAGCTGCAAATTATTCAAATTGTGTGACCGTAAAATAAAAATTAGATTCGTCCGTTTCACAGGAATTAGAGCTATATTTACGACAATTTTATAAATCCTCTTCATTTCTTTTGATATAATAAAAAAATGTTTCGAGATACTAAAAAGAATCGAACAGCCTTGAGACACTTTCTAACGCGATTTCTTTTTTCACCGTAAATTTCTGTTTGGAGAATTTGAATAAGCCTCTATTTTCACGTTTCATCCCTATTTGCATTTCGAGGGATGTGTTTGGGCAAACCTGTGCCCGAACTCCGGAGAATGCGTCGATTCGTCACGCGTTTGCAACGCGTGGACTCCGCATTGTGCACCGAATACGCATATAGATGCACGCACGCACGTACGTTAAGGACAACGAGTGGTTTTCGCTGTAATGCGAACGTCAAACACATCTCCAGGCCTGTGAGAGCGAACACCTGAGTATGCGAGAGCTCTCTCTCTCTCTCTATCTTGCCTAAGCTTCATCGGGGTCGTGCTTCAACCAGGATATTCCGAGGACTAATCACGTTTATCGTCCACCCTCCTTATCACGTGTCTCATCCTTTATACGTATATAGACACTGAAAAAGAAATGACTAAATTAATACATATTTAATTATTAATAAATATTGATTTGTTTCGAAAAGGATTTTCTCTTATATCAAACAAATATTATTAGTTTCAAATAAATGATTCATTTGGCAGTATTGAGATGAATACTTATTCCAATGAAATACATTTTTTTTTCAGTGTATATACATCGAAAATTAAGACGACTCTCGACTCTCTTGAGAATTTCGATCCGCTTTGTGCAAATTAATATTATATTTCTAACTAAAATGGTAATTAAAATTCATGTTTTTGCACACTTTTACACACTGCGGAGAAAATTTTCTCTTATATTCATATTAAAGTCAAATTTCACGTTTTGTTGGATTTAATTTAAATATTTTTATATGTTCAATTAACAAAATAATATTTCGTTGAAAGGTTTAGTCAAGTTAACAATTTTTTTTCAGCGAAAAATTTGATAAGGGTTGCTCTGATTAATAATTGTCATGATAAAAAATAATACTATGTACACAGCAAAATTAATCGAACATATTTTATATTTTATTGTGGTAAATATTAATCAGAGAAACTCTTATAAAATATCATGCATGATTACTAGGACAAAATTCTCTCCGTGTATTTTAATGTGAAAAAATTGGCGTAAGAATTGACATGATAAAAAATTATACTATGTATACAGCAAAATTAATCGAACATATTTTATATTTTATTAATCAGAGAAACTCTTATAAAATATCATGCATGATTACTAGGACAAAATTCTCTCCGTGTATTTTAATGTGAAAAAATTGGCGTAAGAATATTAATTATGTCCGATTTATTCTTGCTGTACTAAATCAGAAAATGGAAAATTAAATAAACCGGCTCTTCCTAATACCTGAAAATCGAAGTGCTTCCGGCTGCATTTTTATTAGAAAAATCGTTGACGCTCACCATGTAATCGCGATGCTCCAGGACGATATCTCAGGTCCAATTAGCGACGTACGTTCTCCTTTTATGTCGTCAGAGGGGCGCACGTGATTTCACGGATCTTCGTCGTGGCGAAGGGCAGATCGCGCATCTGCGGCACACAAGGGAAGAGCGTAAAATTTAAATAAATGTCCGCCGACCGGGCCACTGTCGGACACGGCGAATTAAGTGACATGCTAATCACGTCTGGCGATACATGCGCGAATGAATAATCGCTTGTTCTTTCTCCTCCCCTCATTGACAGAAACCTGTTTTGCGCGCCCTACACCTTGCGCTATTGTAAATTTTATTATATTAAAATAAAAAATTAAATTAAATTAATGAAGTATAATATAATAATCATTTATAATAAAAATAAAAAAATAAACATGAAAATAATAAAATAAAATAAAAATGATTGTAAATATAATAATTATTTTTCACTTTTGGACAAAAATTGATCAAAGGAAATTTGTCTTTCACGTATATTTTTATATATACGATGATTTCAAAGTTCTAATCTTCACACAGGTCAAAAACCCATCTGTATCGATGACATTAAAAGAGCAAAACGCAATTATATGTCACGCATTCGACGTGCAATCGCATGGAAAAAAACTCGGTGAATTCAAGATGACAAAAATGTGTCACCTGGTCGTGTTCGACAACGAAAAGGGTTGAGCAGTCGATCGGAAAAAAATCGTCATTAATGCGAACATTCGCCCCTCGATCGCGAGTTCATCGAGAGGAAGAATTCCGAGGCGTGACAGATTTCAATTTTCAGGAACGAACATTTCGTCTCACGGACTGAATCAAGGGCTGTCTCGAATTCGTTTATCTCTTTCCACAGTTTTTCATCCATCTAGAAAATTTCGTATATAATTTCATTTATTTAATTTTATTTAATTTCTTTTAATTTAATTTTCTATTTAATTATAATTCTTTTCTATTTAATTTTATTTAATTTCTTTAAGTTTGCCGAGAAAACGAATTTTTATATATATATATAAAAAATTAAAATGTGCAATTTTATATTGTGCGCTAAAAGCAATCATATATTATAAAATATTTGCAATAAAGGCAATCTTTTTCAAAATCAATTTTTAGACATTAATAATTTTCGCGATTCGCGCGTATGCAAATTCGCGCTTATCCCGCCCCCGTTAAATGCAAAACAAAATACCGCGAGGGATCAATGCGGCCGCGAAAAAATCATAAATCACGATAAAGGGACGCGCACGTGCACCCTCTCGTACGCGCGTGAGAGAACCCGACTAGGAAAAACTATTAACACTCTGTAACGGCGAAGAGACAAGGGTTTAAAGGGACCGGATACGCGATCCAAATGTGCTTTGCATGCAAGTGTTGCCGACAACTCTAAAACTCCACTGTCATAATTTTAAAAATACTAGGGAAAACATTTTTTTATATATAATTATACATAATAATTTTTTATATATAATTATACATAAATTTATATATATATATGTATAATTATACATATAATTGTAAAAATTATATGTGAAATATGTTCATTTTTATACATAATTAATAATTATATAAATTATAAGGGTTCATATATAATCATATAAAATTATATATGAAACATATATATTTTTATATATATTATATATGAAGATACTTATTTATGATATATAAATTTATAAAATTATGTTGCATTAAATCCTCCTCGCAAACTAACAATAATTTCAAAATAAACACAGTAACATGTACGAGAAGCTATAAGATTTTCTTCAAAAATGCGATTATAGAATTAAATTGAGATTTTTATTATTGATTTCGTTAATTTTTTAATTTACTTATATTTATTATATCTATATAATAATAAATATAAATAATGTAAATGTAAATCAATAATAAATTATAATATACAACAAGTGATTATATAAGAAACCTAATTATATAAAATTATTTAAAAAATTATATAATTAGCTCGCGTGTATAATTTATCGTGACGGCATAATGCAATTAAATTAATCGTGTCGATTTCCAAGGAAGAATGGTCCTGGAAGCACCTGCGAGCCTGACGGAATAATTCATGGAAATTTAAGGTCGACAATTAGGTAATAAATAGTCGAGACACCCTCTTTTCTCTCTTTTCGCCTACTCCACCTTCGCGTTTCGCTACGTCGTGCACGTCGTTGAAATCGACAGGGGAGTGAATTAATAAAACGACCCCCGGCTGGGTGTATGTGTGTGCGCGATGCTTGTAAATGTGTGTTTCGCCAGGCAGCGATGCACAGATGTGCCCCTTCGCGAAGGGCGAGTTTCTTTTATTTTATTGCCGGGGATTAATGGAATAGTTTGCATGCCCGAAACAATCGAGTATTGCATTCCTCCTTCCTCGGCAAGGACCACCCTCAGTTGTAGAAAGGATACCCCGAGATAGCTCGATATTGTAAAATTGCCCGTGATCTTTTTTTTTTCATCCCTCGTTCCACGTTTTCCTAGTACAAATTATAAATACAATCAGAATCTTGATATAATTTTTATTATATACATATATATATTATATTATTTTAATATAATATTTATATTATATTATAAATATAATATATAATAAAATATTATTATATATATATATATATATATATATAAAATTTAATAACAATAATTTACTATTAACTACTATTTACTAATAATAATTATTACTATTAAAAATCAGAATAAAAAATAGTGTTAAAAATCAGAAAAAAATAAATCTGAGCTCATTAAATATAATAGTGTTGTTACAATTACATGTGACAGTTTTTTTTTGCCCTGGGGTAACAGTAACGACACAATGCATCGGGTGGAAAAAGGATCTCGTCACCTACCGGTGCACCGCGTGAGATCGCAGATTCGAAAAATTTCGACTGCCATTAATCGTTCCTTCGTAGAACGACGCTTTGTTCCTGCGATGACACGCGTAAATCTGTCGCTAAACGACTTTTTCCACTCGCGAGCGAGTGTTCGCTCATGCGAGTCCGAGCTCGCTTTAAATCGATATGTTGCGAGCATCGAGGTGTCAAATAAACATTTTAAAATGTAACAACATAATTTCTTCAAAAAAATTCAGAGAGATTTTATTAAAATAATAAAACAATCTCTGAAAAAAATTAAGAGCTTCACCATCGCTCCATCTTCTAAAAATTTTTAAATGTAACAATATAATGTAATTTCTTCCAAAAATTCTTTTCGATTAGAAACAAATTTTTAATTAAAAAAAATCTTGATTAAACAATTTTTTATTTTAAAAAATTAAGAGGTTCACTATCGACTCTAAAATTGTCTAAAAAATTGAATTAACATCAATTCGTGAATTTCACTGTTATAGTTCAACCCTTCGACAGAGAAAGAGGGGGACCTCTTTGAAAGAGTCCTTATTAGAACGATACGTCGAGTCGAGTCCTGGCGGCGCGATATAGGGTCCACGGCAAATCGCACCAGCGGCGACGAAGACGTCGTATTCAGCGGAGGCGGTCGTCTGTGAAACGCGTTTAGCTTGTTGGTACACAGAGCTCGACGGGCGAGATGCGAGCCCCACATTGTGTGCGTGCGGATGCACCCACGTGCACCCGGTGCATCGATTTATTTTCGCGTTCGTCATTTTTGAAAATTCTTTTTTTTACCTCGAAATAATAAAAATTAATTTTTTACATTTTTCATTTAATTATTTCTTTCTCTTTGATTGAATGATTTATTTTCGCGTTCGTCATTTTTGAAATTCTTTTTTTTACCTCGAAATAATAAAACATTTTTTCACTCTTTGATTGAAAAAAAAACCACGAGATACAGATAAGCCGATAAGATTTGCTAAAATTATCGTATATTATTTTTTATAACAAAAATTGATACGCGAATAATAAATATAAAATGTAAAAATTATTTTCAATCGAAAGTACTCGATGAAAATTAAATATATATTTTCCCCGATTTTGCGAGGAAAAAGGGACTTTATTCGCGTAATCTACCACCTGCGTATCATTAGAGGATTAAGGATCCTCAGTAAACGTGTCCTCCATATGGAGACTCCTCTCTCTTTTTTTCTATCTGCTCTCTTGCAAAGAGATCAAATTCCACTCGAAGTCCCCCCAATCGAGCTCTTCTCGAAGGCGATCCTTCAGGATCCGACAATGAGATCGAGTGGAGAGAAAACAGAGTCGACAGCAGATGTGAACCTCCATTCTCGACTTATTCTGTCAAAACATGGACAACGTTTATAGCTATATATATATATATATATATATATATACGTCTATGGAAAACGTTGCGAGAGCATAAAGAATGGAGAGAAGAGTAAAAGTTTCTCTGCTTTAAAAGCGTAATTTATCGAGCGACGCGTGTTTGTCATCGTCGTGAAAAGTGCAAGAAATTAGGCCCTTTCGTGTCATAACAATGAAATAACGATCAATCATTGTTATGTCGTCTCATGCTTGACAGGCAACTTGCAAGTTAACTTTTATATCGAATATATTGGCAAAAATATATTTAAATTTATTTAAATTCTTAATAATTCTAAATTCTTCACAATTTGTCATAATTCTTAATTTTGCAAAATTTAACTACATGACATTTGAGATATATATCTTCATAATAAGATTTATGCATTTATGTATTCTTTTATATCGCGTATTTTATCATCAATTTTAAACTGTATGGTTATTTTTTAAATAAAATAAATGAAGTATTTAAACATTTTTTTTATACATATAAAATATTGTTAAGATTTTCTTATATTTAAATTTATTTAAATTCTTCATAATTTGTCATAATTCTTAATTTTGCAAAATTTAGCTACGTGACATTTGAGATATATATCTTCATAATAAGATTTATACATTTATGTATTCTTTTATATCGCGTATTTTATCATCAGTTTTAAACTGCATGATTATTTTTTAAATAAAATAAATATAGTATTTAAACATTTTTTTTATACATATAAAATATTCTTAAGATTTTCTTATATTTAAATTTATTTAAATTCTTAATAATTCTAAATTCTTCATAATTTGTCATAATTCTTAATTTTGCAAAATTTAGCTACGTGACATTTGAGATATATATCTTCATAATAAGAAGATTTATGCATTTATGTATTCTTT